GCCGCTCCCCGGGGCCTGGCTGCCCGCAGGGTGCAGGGGTGCTGCAGCCAGTGGCTGCCGGGGCGCCGGGGCCTGGCACAGAGCAGGCAAAAGGGAGGGTCTGCCTCAGCCCACTCTCCCGCCTTGTGTCCAGTCTGTTACTGCCTTACGCTTAGAGGAGCGACTCAGTTTATTTATTACTGTATTTATTTTTTAGCCCCCTGCACAGTTCATTTTGCCTTGAGACCGTTTCCATCTGTTTCTCAGACGGCTTCCAACCTGCCCTGAGCCACGGAGACCGCCTCTTCCGATGAGTTAAAGATGGCGATGGTGGGAGAAGCCAGGCAGCAGGGAGGGCGTTGCATTTCTGCGGTCAGCCCCGCGGTGCACCAGGAGGAGGCTGCCCCTTCAGGGGGCGAGGACACTGGCCTGCACCCTGTCCGGAGGCAGCCTAAGCGCTCCTGTAGGGATTGCAGGCCGGGCGGGGATTGAGTGGAGACATGCTGACTTGCCAACCAGAAGTCTGCTGGTCACTGGGGTTCCAAGCCCTCCACCTCTCCTGAGGTGCCCTTTCTTCACCATCTGCCCTGGGGCTCTGTTCTCCTGAGGGAGAACAGAGCCAAGCTCTCCTCTCTGCTGGCACCATCGTGGAAGGCAGGACCCCCGGCGTCAGTTGGGTTGGAGCAGCATCCGCATGGTGACCCCAGGGTCGTGTGTCCTGCGACGCCAGACCCCCCCAGCAAGGCCTCTTGAGGGAGAGCCTCACCTAGCAGTCTCCTCTGGGCTCGGAGGGGCACCACACCTCCACTGCTTTATATTTGGCAGTGAGTTGTGTAGAGGACTACACTGGCCAAGATGTATATACCGTGTGAGAAATTATTTGGGGCTTTCTATTTGGACGGTAGAAAGCAAGCTTGCCGCAGGTCTGCCCATCAGAGAGCAGAAAGACCTCTCTGTAGTCCCTGAAGCGGAGCCATGCCTTAGCTAACAGAATATACTCTTTATAAAGTCATTTTCTACTGCCCCGGTTTCCGCTCAGCTGAAGCCTGGCTGATGCTTCCTGTTGAGTACTTATTACCCTCTGTCTGTCGGAGAGGAGCTGGCAGGCACAGCCGGCTCCCAGGGGCTCACATGTCTTTGCGTCTGTCGCCGTTTTCCTTGGAACCCCCTTCAGTGGCATCAGGGATCCCCGAGGGACTGGCTCCTCCCTCTGCCTCTGTGTGCCTGCTGCCCCTTTGTGAAGTCCTGCAGCTCGTCATATTTCGTTTCCTACGGGCATGTCCCTGGCAGCCAGGGCCTCTGGTTAGCACAGCATCGCTAGTTTATTCACGATTCTCATTGCAAACTTCTGAAATAATTGAACTTTAGGGACAAAAGGGTATTTACTGGAGCACAGGCATGACCCAGCGTTTCCTAGCCCACGTGAATCCTAAGAAGCGATACACCCCTCGGTCTCCCTGCCTGTTCATGTTGGGAACCCCACAAATGACCTGCAAGCCCTTTGCCCGCGGTCCCCTTGCTCTCCAGAGCACAAAGAGGTGTTAGTGGACACGCAGCGCCTTCTCCAAGCAGGAGAGCCGCTGCCGTGCCGTCCGCCCGTCTGTCCATCCGTCCACAGAATGAGAAGAAGCTCTGAAACCCTGTCCGTTGTTCCCTTTCGCTGCTTTGCTGAGAGACACATCCAGGGCGCTCCTAACGGGAGACTTTCCCATGAAAAATCCCCACCAGACAACTTAAGAGACTTGTACAGCAAACACCCATCCA